ATTGTTGCACTATATCTAACCATTTCCATCTCAGAGAATGAAATGGGATTGCAGGCTGCGCCTAGTTGGTCTAGAGGAACTACCTGACACACAGTAGCCCACACAGAGCCTGACAGGCACATGCCACCCCATCTGATTGCTACCTGGCACATCACAGGGCTTCTTCAATGCATTGTGCTCCATTGCTGGGAGCAGCGTGCTCTTCACAGATCTGATTTCTGGCATCAAGAGATTTTAACTTCAGCTCAGAAGCCATGGCTTAACGTCAATGAGAAGTCGATTAGAAAATATCTACATATTCATGACACTCTCATAACTTGCAGGCACTATGTCGAAAGTGAGCTGGCAGACGCTGGAATGCTGTCCCTGAACTAATGTGATAAAGACTGTAATGAAAGACTTATGGTATTAATAATTTTTACCAGTATCATATTAGTACTCTAGCTCAGCCTGTGCTTTGGCTTGTACAGAACAAAACTTGTATCATTATTATTTTAAGACTTACACAAGAAGTCAGTGAAAGCGAATGTTAATACACTCTGCAATACAGTGTAAAAAACACGAGTAAAAAAGATGTGCTGGAGTATAATCTGAGTTAAATAATTCCTTCCTACTTACTTTTAGAAAATTATGTTTACTTAATAAGCTTTAAATTAATTTTTATTTTGAAAATAAAAGTTGTGATCAGACTATAAATATATTGCAGGCAATCCTTCTCCTCGCTGGAGTATTTCGGCATTTTTCCAGATAAAAAGAAACATGCGTAAAATGGACGGAGACATATGCAAAACATCATAACCAAATAACTCATCTTTTTACGAAACCTCAAAAGAATTTGAGGAAGAAGTTGGTCAAATGTATCAAATGCAGTTGGTTCAGAGACTGCAGAAGGCTTTTTTCCAAGTTTCTTTTCTCTCAGTGTTTAACAGCTCGGGTTTGTGATACTTCAGCACAGCAGTCACCAAACAGACGCTAAGCTAACTAGACAGGAGAATCTCATCCACCTTTGTCAGCCTTCCTATCAAACATCACTTTGTCTCATGGGGTATTTCTTCTTAAGTTTAGAAACCACTTTCATATGCTAGCTACTTTCTTGTAAGGTTGTCATGACGGCAGCAGGGTTTTGTTCATGAAAGACTGTTGAGCAGAACCTTGCAGGTTCACCTTGCAAGAGCTTGTGAGAACCAGCCCTTTGAAAGCATGACTGGAGATTTGAGCGATATAAACTCCAAAGAGTCATCCAATTCCCAGCTCCACTGCTGCTTTATTCAAGCTGGACCCAGAGTATTTTACTATCTTTCAGTGTCACAAGGGAAAGCGGTGCCAAGACTGCTCTGTGCTGAGAACAGGATGATCATGCTAGGTCTGATCTACAACGACATGGTACGATAACAGCTTTCAGCACAAATGCGAGCACCAGATGCTCAGCACTTCTGCGGGCAAGGTCACTATCTAATATTCAGACTTTCACACTGTAATCCTCTATCCTGCACAGAAAGTTCAGGATGTAGGGCATTTTCCCTACTGAGCAGCAAAGCAATAAAAAGTTTATATTGCTAATAGTTAAAAGGATTTCCTTTATTTGCCCTGTATCTCTTGCAGTTTAAACTCTTCAGAGAAGTGGCAGTCTGCTAGTCTGGTGCCTTCCTCAGTTTCACTGTGACTAGGAATCAATACTAACCCCAGTGCTTTCACTCAGTTTGACAGTTTCCCCACTGAGAAGCACCTAGCTCAAAGGGTCACACCAACTAAAGTATTACAAAGTTTGTCAGATGAATCAGTAGAATCTCACTGACGTGGGATCTCACACCACAGCCTTCCTCAGTGGAACCACAGGCTATATAACAGAGAGCTTTTTGCTAGGTTGAGGGGACAGCATGTACCTGCATCCTCATCTCTTATTAAAGTTGTTCAGGGTTGCCAGAGATGCCAAAAAACACTATTTGAGATTCTCTTTAGAAGTGATGGTCCTGAATCGTTCATCTGGAAATGCTTCCATCTGCTACTGGAACACTGCATACAAAACCAAGGCATTTCAACTGAGTATCAATACCTGCTATGTTCACCTTAATAAAGTGAAATAAATACTCTAATTTATCATAGCAATAATGTACTTCTTCTAATGTATTTATACATAACTATGATACTTCTTGGATGGCTTGTCGCTTGATCTCAGTCCTGCGCTTTGCAACTTACCTGAGGTAATTGGGAATCCCACAGGAATGCTCCTATTTGATCCTTCTTATTCACTAATTGCAACCAGAATCTTGGATGCAGTACCAATATAGAGATATATTCAGCGATAAGACTTGATGTAGTAAAATGAAAGTTAAAAAGATATGTTTAGCTAAATGGGATTGAACAGCACGGGGTTTATAAACTGCTAACATCTTATCCCCAGAAAACATAATTGAATATAGAAATATAATGAAATCAGTTAATGTTTTCATGGGACTTGGGAAGGGGCTCTCCCCAGAAAACATGCCTGGAATGAATGTATCAATTTTGTATCTCTTCTGCACTGCTTCTTCTCTCTCACTGCTCATCCCATATCCCATGCACAGCTAGAGTACTTCTTAAACAGGAGATTTATTGGACACATTAGTCTTTAAGAAGCCTTTAAGACTTACTAGACGTTGCTGATGTCTAACAAAATAAAATATTAGAGGTACCAGCTGCTCCATAAAACTTTTAATTCTGCTGTTACACCTGTGGTTTAATAAAATAAAATGCATCAGGTGTAATGAAAACCCAAATACTGTAACAGTAGAGGTATCGCCTACCCTACCAGAGGCCTCAGGGAAATACAGTGGCTGTGGTAGTTAAGAGTGATATAGTAATAGGTCAGTAATTTCAAGAGTGTAAGAGGAAAGAGAAATAAACTGAGACATCAGGGGAAAAAAAAAAAAAGTTAAAGATGGAATTGTATAGGGCCTTCAGATCATTCATAAGAAGATAACTGATTCACCAAAACCAAGATTATAATCAGTCCATAAAATCAAACTCCACATAAATCAGTGTCAAAATCTGACTGAAATCCAAATGAGTCAATATTTCTCTGTTGAAATGAATAAAATTAGAGCAAATGTGAGTCAACTAAAAGCATCTGTCATGTCCAGCTAAGCTAACTTAAACAGGATCAAGTTTATGGGCACATTTCACACCGAGCAATCTGCAGAACAGTGCACATGGATGAGAATTTAGTAAAGGACTTGGGTAGTTTGATTTCTCTCTTAAATTATACATGTTTGCTCTGAACTGTATATACTGTATTGCCTGTTCTATTTGTGCTAGAACTGAATGGTAAAGATAGCAACAATTTATAAGGGCGTTACATACTGGGTGGTTTCAAAACCCTAGAGATAATGAACAATAAAAATAGCTGGGCCTTTTGCTAGCACCCTAATGATCTACTGTTTAGGTCATATATGATTACTGTGCTGATGTCATTTTGGGGATGAAATGGATATTAAAATCATAGTATGTTTTAAAGAGATTTGCTGAATAAACCAGAGCCTGATCCTGCTGCCACAGACTTTAGCAAGAATGAGGTAAAGCTATAATTCAGATAAACAGTATTACACTATTTATATTTCAAGGATGGAGGACTTGAGACAAAGAAATTAATATGATTTATTTACAGCCTTGGAGGAAGTCAGTCTTGGAAGTTTTTGTTTCCATTATGCTCTGTTCCATCAGATTCTACTCTGTTCTATTAAATTCAGCTTGTGCTGCTGCTCTCATCCTCACAACATCCAAGAACATCCCAAGAGTTACTAAACAGTATGTTCTGTATTTTTCACTTATGAATTGCTTTTGAAAGATGCAATGTTACAAAAGACTTTGGCATAAGGCTGTTTTCCAACTGGGATTCTAATGACTTTTTTTCTTGTTTCTCCATTTTGGAGTTTGTCTCAAGGAACTAGAAGGAAAAGGGAAGAGTATTTTTTGTTTTGACTGAAGGTAAATTTTTTGCTGTCTTATATGTTCTTAGTACCTAAACTGAGATCAAATGCCTGCACGCTGTGCTTGCCATGGAGCGTGGAGACATTCAGGGTGGTCTTCAGATTGTGTGATTTATAAAGTTCAGTCTCCTGTACAAACTTTACCTCTGTGAAGGCCAGCTCCGCCATGCTTGACAAATGCAACTGCCTAACAGAGTCCCAATATCTGATCTGTCAGCAGTAGCCTGGAGCCAGACCGCTGAACAATTCAAGGCTAAAGACAGACATCTCAAATTCCATTTGAGACCTTGCAGAGAGCCAGTGTAAGGAAAGCACAGCAGGTAAGCTTTTTTTTTTTTTTGATAGTCAAAGACGTTAAGGAAATGTCTAATTGGTTTTGAGCTATCTGAAGTTTCCTGAGCGCTGAGAATTTCATGTCTAGTTCTATGGCAGTCCTACCCATCTAGCCAACGGCGACGAGACCATAAAATGAAAGCACATAATTTTCTGCCGCAGGGGACCTCTGGGTTCCTACCCAGCGGGAAACCGCCGCTGCCTCTCTATTTTGGCAGGACACGCGCCTTCCACCAACCAACCACTCGCCAACTCCTCAAAATGCTACTTTCATTTCGTGCAAACACGAGCTGCTCACTACTATTCATCGGCGACCATCCTTTTGCCCACTAACACCCATATCCCAACACCTTTCCACAGAAGGAGGACAAGACAATTTTAATATCGTTTTTCTTTTTTTTTTTTTTTTTTTTTTTTTATTTCCCCCTCCTCCCTCCCCCACCTGAAGTTTCCAGACGGGACTATCATCTTCCGCTGGCCCTAGCGCTACACACCCACACACACACACACACACACTCACACACACCCCCACACCACACACATACACCACCTCACACCCACGCCTCCCCACTCCGCGCTGCCGCAGCCTCCGCGGGCGCACCCCCCGCTTCCCCCCCCCTCGTGAATATTAGCCGAACCCCCCCACACACACCCCCCCACCACCACCACCCCCCCGCCCCCGCCTCGCCGCTTCTCTCCTACCCGCTCCGCGACCGCGGCGGCCTCCCGAGCGGAGGGGGCGTGGGGGAGTGTCGTGGGCGGCGCGCACAGCCCGGCCCGGCCCAGCCCGGCCCGGCCCGGCCCAGCCCAGCGCGGCGGCGGCGGGGGAACGGGCAGCGGCGGGGAGGAGAGGCGCCGGGCGGGCGGCGGAGCGGGCGGGCGGCCGGGGCGCAGCCGGCGGCGGCAGCGGCGGCCGGGCATGGGGCCCACGGGCGGTCGCGGCAGCACCACCGCCCGCAGCAGCCTGCAGGTGAGGGCTGGGGCGGCGAGGGGGGGGGGGGGGGGGGGGGGACTTCGCGGCTTACCCCCCACACACACACCCCGACCCCCGAGCCCGACTTGGCACGCAGCAGCAGAATTGGCAAAAAGCCCCCAAACATACATATCCACACATACCTATATATATACACACACACACATATATATATATATATATATGTTTATTGTTGTTTTTTTTCTCTTCGATCTCCACAGATCAGCCGTGAAAAGTTTGGTTGTTTGGGTTTTTTTTTTTTTAATTTTTGTTGCTGCTGCCGACGCGGGTTGTAGCAGAGAGCCGCGGAGAAGGGAAATGGGTGGTTAAAGAGAAGAGGGGGAGGAAAAATCCTCCCGTGGAGACGGTGCCCGAAGTTACTTTCGGGGAGCCCGTTTCCACACGCGAGGGGCTGGGGACGCGCTTGCCAACGCGGGCAACTTCCTTCGCGCAACCTCTCCGCGGCTCCTCTCTTCCGACTCGTATTTTCAGCCGGCAGCCGGAGGGGGACCCCGGCGGTGCTGCGCGGAGGCGTGGGGGGTGGCCGTGGGTCCGTGGCGGCGGGGCTGGAGCCGCCGGCTGCGCGGCCCGCGGAGCGCAGGGACCCCCGCGCGTGCTGCGGTGCCCGGTGCGCGGCGTTGCGGGCGCTCCGCCGGGACCCGCGCGGGTTACGCGATGCGGGCCGCGTCCCTCGCAGCACCGTGGGGCCCGTGGGCGTGAGGGACGAACAGGATTTGGGACGGGGAAGAGTGGGGGACGCGTTTTACATCGCTGCTGTGGAAAGGGAAGAGGGCGAGCAAATGTTTGGAGGGGAGGGAGGATGCAGGGGGGTGTGCCTCTGCTTGGGATGTGCTTACAGTTGGGAGGGTAGGTGCTACTAGTGAGTAGGGGGGGCGAGCTTGAGGAAGGGTGTGTGGGGGGGGAGAAAAGGTGACACATCGGGGCGCAAGTGCCACTGCTGGTGGGGGGAAGGTGGGGTGGCCCCTGGGCCATCCCCGGCCGTGTGGATTTGCTGTGGGCAGTGCAGCTGGTGCTGCCTGGAGGGTACAGATGGCGATGCCCTGGAGGTGGCTGCTGTGCTGGGGGGGACAAAATGGGGGGAGAGGGAGGATGGCTTCATGTCACAGCTGCCGCGCTCCCTGCCTGCAGTGGCAGCAGGGGAGCCAGTGGGAGGGGGCTGCCTCTTGCCTCCTCTCCTTTAATGCCACCCCCTCCCCACACCCCTGTGCCTCTCTCTCCTCAGCACTTGCTCCTCTTCCTGCTCTTCGTCGGACCTTTCAACTGCTTTGCCAGTTACAGCCGCGCCACCGAGCTCTTCTACAGCCTCAACGAGGGGCTGCCTGCCGGCGTGCTCATCGGCAGCCTGGCCCGTGACCTGCGGCTGCCCGTGGCTGGTGGGCAGCACCCCACGGCCCTCCAGCCCCCACTGTCCTTCACCCTGGCCTCCCGTGGCTTGGGAGGTCAGTATGTGCAGCTGGACAACCGCTCTGGGGAGCTGCACACCTCGGCCGTGGAGATTGACCGGGAAGCTCTCTGTGTGGAGAGCAGTGGGGCCACCATCTTCGGGGGAGCAGCTGCTGTCTCCTCTTCCTCACCCTCATCCGAGTCATGCCTCCTGCTGCTGGATGTGCTGGTGCTGCCACAGGAGTACTTCCGCCTGGTGAAGGTAAAAATTGCTATCTGGGATGTCAACGACAATGCGCCCCACTTCCCTGTGCCCCACATCCGCCTCTCGGTGCCTGAGAATGCACCTGTGAACACCCGCCTGGCTATCGAGCACCCTGCCCTTGACCCTGACGTGGGCACCAACGGTGTCCAGACCTACCGTCTGCGGGATAACTATGGTGTCTTCACCCTGGATGTGGAGGAGAATGAGAGCGGGGAGAGGACTCCCTACCTGATTGTTATGGGGGCTCTGGACAGGGAGACACGCGAGGAGTATGTCACAGTCATCGTTGCTGAGGATGGGGGGACTCCTCCGCTCATGGGCAGTGCCACCCTCACTATTGACATCAGCGACATCAATGACAACTGCCCCCAGTTCAACGACTCGCAGTTTAATGTCACCCTTTATGGGAATTCCAGCCTAGGGACACACGTGGCCACTGTCCACGCGGTAGACATGGACCTTGGATCCAATGCCCAGATCACCTACTCCTACAGCCAGAAGGTCCCCCAGCCATCCAGAGATTTGTTCCATCTGGATGAAAGCACAGGAGCCATCATGCTCTCCAGTAAAGTTGATGGGGACACTCCAAAGCTCCACAGACTGATCATATTGGGCAATGGTCCTGGTTGTATCCCTGCTGTGATCACAGTGCTAGTGACGATCATCAAAGTCATGATGAGGCCACCTGAAGTTGTCCCTCGTTTCATAGCTAATGAAGTGGAAGGAGTGGTGTACTTAAAGGAACTGGAGCCTGTCAACACACCGATAGCATTTTTTACCATCAAAGACCCTGATGAAAAATACCAAGTCAATTGCTATTTGGATGGTGATGGGCCTTTCAGACTTTCACCGTACAAGCCATACAACAATGAATACCTCTTAGAGACCACAAAGCTTTTGGACTATGAGACACAGCAGCTGTATGAAATCTCTGTAGTTGCATGGAACTCAGAAGGATTTCATGTCAACAAAATAATCAAAGTACAGGTTCTGGATGACAACGACAACTCACCAGTTTTCTCTCAACAGCTGATAGAATTATCTATTGAGGAGAATAATGTTCCCAATGCTTTCTTGACCAAACTGCATGCTATCGATGCTGACAGCGGAGAAAGAGGACAAGTGTCCTATTTCTTAGGTCCTGATGCCCCTTCCTATTTTGCTTTAGATAAAACCACAGGAGTTCTTACTGTTTCCACCCAACTGGACAGAGAAGAAAAAGAAAAATACAGATATACTGTCAAAGCAGTAGATTCTGGGTTCCCTCCAAGAGAATCAATAGCAACTGTCACCATCACTGTGTTGGATAAAAATGATAATAGCCCACGATTTATCAATAAGGATTTCAGCTTCTTCGTGCCAGAAAACTTTCCAGGTTTTGGTGAAATTGGAGTTATAAGCGTCACAGATGCCGATGCAGGGCAAAACGGGTGGGTCGCCCTCTCAGTTCTGAATGGAAGTGATATTTTTGTCATAGATACTGGAAAAGGAGTTTTGAGAGCTAAAGTTTCCCTGGACAGGGAGCAGCAAAGCTCCTATGTTCTGTGGATTGAAGCAGTTGATGGTGGTGATCCAGCCCTATCTTCTACAGCAAAAATAACTATCCTTCTTCTGGACATAAATGACAACCCCCCTTTGGTCTTGTTTCCTCAATCTAATATGTCTTATTTGTTGGTCCTTCCTTCTACCCTTCCTGGATCTCCCATCACTGAGGTTTATGCTGTCGATAAGGACACTGGCATGAATGCAGTCATAGCTTACAGCATCATAGGAAGAAGAGGCCCTCGGCCAGAGTCATTTAGGATTGACCCTAAAACTGGTAATATCACCTTGGAAGAGTCACTGATGCAAAATGACTATGGCCTCTATCGGCTGCTTGTAAAAGTTAGTGATCACGGCTATCCAGAACCTCTCCATTCCACTGTCATGGTGAACCTTTTTGTCAATGATACTGTTAGTAACGAGAGCTACATTGAAAGTTTGTTAAGAAAGGAGCCTGATATCAGTGTAGAAGAAAAGCAGCCTCAAATATCCATAGAGCCTACACATAAAAAAATGGAGTCAGCATCCTGCATGCCTACCTTGGTAGCTCTGTCAATAATAAGCTTGGGTTCAATTGCTTTAGTAACAGGGATGGGCATTTACATCTGTCTAAGAAAAGGGAAAAAGCGTCACAGAGCAGATGAAAACTTGGAAGTACAAATCCCATTAAATGGAAGAATTAACCTGCACATGTTGGAGAAGAAACCAATGGAGATTTCTAACATTTGACATTTCTTTGTGGATAAATCCAACATCAGAAAAACCTTGGACAAATCTGAAACACCTAGCCGTGGGTTGTATTGGCAGAGGTTGCAATGAAGGACTGCTAATTTATAACTTAATAATATTATAATTGTAAATAGCTGTTTACAGTTTTTTAAATTCAAATTAAGTGTACAGCTTTTTTATGAAACCTTAGTAACTAACAGCTAGCACCCTGTCTATAAAAACGTGGACATCATTTCCAGCTTTCATAAATCAGTAAGATCAGTGACCATAAAAAAGGGGAAGGTAAGACAGTTCTTTAAACTGAAGTTTTAAAAGTCTTTTTAACCACAAGAGGGCATCAGATGCTCCTGAGCAGGGAACTGTTCAAGGTACTGTCCATGAGATAAACACAGAGTATATTTTAAATATATTGGTTTTAATATAAAATGCACATTGGCATACAGACATTTAACCACAAGAAAAAGAAATGTCTGTCCCGATGTATGTATAATTAAAAGAGTAAAGACATAAAAATGCACTAGTAATAATAATAAAAAAAAAAAAAAAAAAACAAACAAGAAAAAAACAGAAAACAGAATGTTTATTACCTCACAAGTAAAGCTTATACAGTAGGATAGAAGAGGCATTAACAAGAAGTGCAATTCCTGTTGAGAAAGAATGCGAGATATTGTAATGAAAATCTGAACTGCTGTGACATATCATCTTCCATTTGCACCAAATTTCACCCACATTATCAATTGCTCCAGCAACCTGCTGGTCATTTTTATGGAAAAATTATATTTAATATTTCCTACAGCAAATAATGACAGAACCCCACACTCATCCTCGTAAACATGC